AATATGTGTGTGTGTATGTATGTTTATACAGTAGCGGCCATAATATAAGGAACAGAAACAACAAAGACATAAATATGTGTATTACTTAAAAAGTAATGCATGATTGGCAATGAAATTTTTACCGAATAAAGATTAAGGTGTAATGCATAAATATTATGCAAAGTTACAAAAATTTACATAATAGTTTTTTTTAAAATAAAGATTAAATGGAACAAAGGAAATAAGCTACTGGACAAAAGTTAAGGAACGATCTTGTTAATACTTGATTGTGACCAAAATATCAACAAAATTTAATATTTGGTAAACATCCCCTCATTTTCAATGACATCTCTGCATCGTCGACCACATGATCGAATTAATTTCTTGCAAAAATCAGCAGTAATTCCTCCCATTCATCTTTCAATAACTCCATAGGTGATCCTGGTTTTCCGGGTTTCTTTTTCTGAGCCCTTTCTCCAATTATCTTCCAAAAATTTTCTATTGGATTCAGGTCAGGGCTCTGGGCTGGCCACTTCATTAGGGCGATTCCTTCTTCTTCAAATAAAGCCATAACCTTCTGAGCCTTGTGGCAAGGTGCATTGTCCTGCATGAAAATAGGAGATTCATAAAGATTATGGTGTAATCTTGCTACATGCTGCTTAAGAAGCCTTTTGTAAATCTCAGCATTGATATTGCCATGTACGCAGATGATAGGGCCAACTCCTGCAAATGAAATCATTCCCCACACTATCACACTGCCACCACCAAACTTAACGGTTTTCTTGACACATTGAGAAGACAGTATTTCACCTGTTCTACGGCGTACGTAAGTTTTGCCCTCAGAACCAAATATAGTAAACTTGGACTCGTCACTGAAATGAACTGTATCCCATTGTGCGTCAGTCCAAACAACATGTTCTCCAGGCGGGCCCTTTGGTTTCGCTTTGAAATGAGAGGCTTCGAAGCTGGAATACGGGCATGCAATCCTGCATTTTTTAACCTGCGAGCAACCGTTTTCCTTGAGATCTTATTATCTGTCTCTTCATTAAATTTACGGGCAATTGATGTAGCAGTTTCAAAACATTTTTTTGTAGATATTCTAACAATTCTTCGATCTTCTCTTATTTTATACCTGCTGATTACACGATGAACGACGCTTTTAGACCTATGAACAATATCAGAAATTTCTGAAAATGACTTTTCTTCTTAATTAGTTAGCGATAATGAGTTTTTTTCGTCAAAAGATAGCGCTTTGCGTGTAGAATTAAATGAAGTTTTACTTATTGTTGAAAAGCTCCATCGAGTTTTTTAACAATGTAAATTAAAAGTTTATGCAAATTATTAACATCGTTCCTTAACTTTTGTCCAGTAGCTTATTTCCTTTGTTCCATTTAATCTTAATTTAAAAAAATCTTATGTAAATTTTTGTAACTTTGTATAATATTTATGCATTACACCCTAATCTTTATTCGGTAAAAATTTCATTACTAATCATGCATTTCTTTTTAAGTAATACACATATTTATGTCTTTGCTGTTTCCGTTCCTTATATTATGGCCGCTACTGTATATATATATATATATATATATATATATATATGAAGAAATATAGTCTTAAAGTGTGCTATATTTATGGGATAAAGTGCTCAATATCAGAGGAGGACATAAATCGAGGGAGAGCTCAATGTAAACTACAGAGCATTGTAATGGTAATAAGACGGAAACTGTAATTATCCATTTCATTTATAATTTTTATTTCGTGAACAGCGAGATGTTCAGCTCATCAGAACGAAAACCTGCTTCGCGAATGGCGAAAGTACACCGGACGAATACTTTAGCTTGGTAGTGGGGGGGAGGAGAGAGAGAGAGAGAGAGAGAGAGAGAGAGAGAGATGGCTCTTAGATGTTAAAGGTTTAGATAGTGGTCAGTTTCCTCAACCAAGAAAGTTCTATCTATCTATCTATCTATCTATCTATATATATATATATATATATATATATATATATATATATATATATATATACTCAGAGGTTCGTAGACAATCCATTGTTCGGAGGTATCAGAAATATTCAATATTCCCGTTTTTGTTATATATTACGTTAAAATATAACTTATGCGCACTTTTTTGTTGGTGTTAAGTTGATTTTTCTATTTTATGTGCATGTTTGTGCATACCTAGGATACTTTAAACTTAAAGTAAGTAATATTTGTTTCAAGTGAGATTAATTAAACTGTAAATCAGTTAATATTCCTCAAATAAATTTTCAGAAAAGTATATTTCATTTTTGAAAGATTTTTTTAATAAAGAGACTTATATCGCTATGAAAGAGGGCTAAAATAGCACTAACATAATTTATTTTAATTTCAAAATGAAAACTCCTTCCAGTCAATTTAAATTAATTTTAAAATACAGAAAAGTAATTTACTTATTGGAAATGTTAAATTTAATCTATTAGCGTGAAATTAAAACTAAAATAAAAACTTCGAAACAGATTTGTTTATTTTTCTTAATTAATTTTAAACCTTAGGTATCACGTTTCTACGGAGGTACCTACATTTACTTAAGATCTCTATGTCATGTCCTGTTTTCCCCTGTCCCACTTGCCTTCAATGTATCCTGTGAGTATCAAAATTTCTAAGCCCTCTTTCTTCGTTATGTGAAGCACGGTGGAGTAATGGATAGCGGCTTGGATTGAGGAATCGTAGAGCCGAGTTCGAATTCACTTACATACTTGGGAAAGGTGTGAATCCTCTTCTTCTACCTCCAGCTATGGGTAAATAGCAGGACAGACTGGGTTCTATAGCCTTGGATGGATGGCAACTGGTTTAGGAGAAGGAAAACTCTGAATTCAAAACCTGCGGAGGGTCGTTTGGGGACCCTGTAGCACGTAGTGCACCAGGTCTCTGTAGTCGGCCCTTCAAAAAGTGTGGACGGTCCTGCACGAAACCTACACCACTATAATCAAATCTCATGTGCTATATATATATATATATCAACCAGTGACAACAATGCCGTGACGTTACAGCCTAACGAGATTTCGAAAAGCATCATTAGGAAGTACTAAACCCCAATAGGTGTCTATTTATATTAAATAAATAGGGAAAATATTATTTACGAATTTAAATGCCCATTAAAGAATTGTATTCCTGATCAATCAAAATTCGTAAATAATTATATAGGCAATATGTTTGACACGCAGACTCACTCTACACGTTTCTGACAATAGCTCAATTAGATCTCATTTAAATATTCATGGAGACCGGACACTATTCGGACAATATTTGTTGACAACACTAATATAATAGCATAATCTACATGCAAAAAAGGCTAATAATAATGGAAGCCTTATTAATAAAAACAAACAAACCAACACTTAATAATATTAACTTTAAACATGGATATAATATCTTGACCGTGTTTTGAAAAATGAAAACATTTCATAAAACATACACACAAAAAACTATTTCTAATTTTAACAGTTAAAATATAATCCTTGAAAATGGCTAAATGTATAGCCGAAAGCGCTCGGATAAAAAGAACATTCGGACAGTTTTTATATAATTTATCATCTGCAAAGAAAACATTATTAGATCGCATGAGAAATTATATAAAAAACTAAATAAAAGCACCTTGTCTGTCGTTATCAATAAAATGTGTATGAAAGAAGGAATGCTATATATATATATATATATATATATATATATATATATATATATATATATATTACAAAGTCATTGTTCCTGAGGGTTTGAGTGTACTGGGCTTGTTCAAAATCTTGATCTGACCAGATGATCCACTCTTTCTCAGTAACTAAGGTCATCTCAAGATAATTGCAGTTTAAACTACAGTTGGGCCTTGAACAAAAGTCAAATGTGCCTGAGTTGGTGCCTACCACAGTAGAAGATTGGCTTAAAACAATTCTCTTGTCCCCTATTAACGGAAGGCGGGAAAAAAGAAGCAAACACAGATTATAAGAGAACAGGACGTAAAATTGTGAGCTATGATTTAGAGATATCAAAATGAAGCAAAGACAGAAATTTAATTGCGAAGTGTTTAAACAGAAGATGGAAAATGCGGCACCTGAATCCGAAGCCACGTTGGAATGGTAAAAATTGTCCTTAAAAGGTGTAACATGGTATTTATAAAGATTTCTTAAGAAACAAAGAAAAAAGTTCTGAACTTCGATGTAATATCAAAATTCCTATATGATCGTGGGTGCTGGAGAATTTATAAACAGATGAAGAGGAGATTTGAGAACAGAGGTGTGATTTAAAAGAAGGATGCTGAGAATACCATGAAAGGAACATGTAGGCAATGAGGAAGTTTTAAGTGAAATTGCAACCGAAAGATCAGTTGTCTTTAGTATCAAGAAGAGGTGGTTGAAATTTATTTCACTGATACATAATGAGGAAACAGTGGGTCGAGAATGTAACAACCATAAAAATATTAATAAAAAATACTAAAAGCAAGAAGGAAACAGAAAGTAACCTACTTAAAAAGCTTGTGTAAATGAATGAAAGAAAACGTACTGGAAGGGAGACTAAGTGAAGCTGTGGAGAGCCATGATCGCCAACGTCCTGAAGAGACACGGCATATATAAAATGATGTATTATGGATTGGCAAATATAGAGGAAAACAAACATCGTTAAGAAAGACTGAGTCAACTAAACATGAAAGATAATTTAGTCATTTCGTTGGATGAAGCTGGAGTGTATTTAATTGGAAAACAGGGGTTAGGGGACATATTTCGAGGTGGAAAAGAGGAAGAAACGAAGGTCTGGGATGGGGGAGTGACTGGATGAAATGTAAGGGGTAGATGGAAGGATCAGAGGAATGAAACTAAAGCTGGGGTGGGGGGAACAGAAATAGCTAGAAAGAATGTTTGTAAAGTGGGGAAAGAGAATGGGGAGTTTAACAGTAGAAGGGTTGGGCTAAGTGACACAGAGAGAGTGAGTGAGTGAGTGAGAGAGAGAGAAAGAGAGAGAGAGAGAGAGCGAAGAAGAACATTGAGATAGAACGAGTCAGACGATGATAACAAAGAAGAGGAAGTGACATCCGGTAATAAAGGGGAATAAGCAAAAGTGATGGGAAGAAGGAGGAGAAATAAAGAAAAAGGTGAGAAAAGAAATTAAAAAGAAAAGGATAGATAGAAAATTGGAAAGAAGAAAAGAGGGAAATAAAAGAAAAAAGGAATGAAGAAGCACAAAGAAAAATTGGTAAAGGAATGAGAGAAGCGACAATTTGAGAACAAAGAAAACATAAGCAGTACACAAATTGAGGGGTTTAAGCAAGTAAAATAAAATAAAAAAAAAAGAAAGAAGATGGAAAACGTAGGGGAAAAAAAAGAAAAAGAAGTTGGATAAAGTGAAAAGAAAAAGAAAAGGACAATGTAAAGTGAAAGATGAAAAAAGTAGAAGGACAGTGTAAAGAGAAAGAAGAAAAAGGAGAAGAATAAAAGGATGAGAAAAAAGAAAAAAAGTGACGATTATATAGAGGAAAAGGAGAAAAAGTAGAGAGTAAAGTGGTAATGTAGTGAGAAAGTAGAAAAAGAAGAGTGACAATGGGCTAAGAAAAAGAAAAAGATAATTAAGTGAGAAAGATGAAAAAGGCAAGGGATTAAATGATAAGAAAAGAGGGGAGGGACAATTAAAGGGAAAGAAGCAAATGGAGAGGAATAAAGTAATAAGAAAAAGAAAAGGGTGAGTGATGATGTAAGGAAAAAGAAGAAACATTAGAGGGGCAAAGAGACACGAAAAAGAAAAAAAAGGAGAGGCAGAATATATAGAGAAAAAAAAAAGAAAAAAACACAGGGAAAAAGAAATAGAAAAAGAAGACGGAAAATGGAGGAAGAAAAAGACGAAAAATAAGAGGGATAGAATCATGAGAAAAACAAAAAGGCGGGGGAAAATATATATAGTAAAAGGAGAAGGATAAAGTGATGAGAAAAATGAGAGGGCCATATATAGGGAAAAGGGAGAAAAATTAGAGGCTTGAATTGATGAGAAAAAGAAAAAGGGAGAAAGACAATGTTGGGAGAAAGAAGAAAAGGGAGAAATATAAAATGATCAGAAAAAAGAGTTGGATGACGTAGGGAGAAAGAAAAAAAATCAAGAGATAAATTGTATAGAAATTGAAAAAGGAGATGGAAAATGTAGGGGAAAGGAGAGGGATAATATGAAGAGAAAGAAGAAAAGGGAGAGAGATAAAGTGATATAAAAAGAAAAAGGAGACGGATAATGTAGGTAGAAAAAAAAAGGAAAAGGCGAGTGATAAAGTGATGAGAAAAAGTTAAAGAAATTTGAAAAAGTATGGAGAAAGAAAGAAAGGAAAGAAAAGAAAAAGAAGCGATATAAAGTGATAAGAAAAAGAAAAAAGAAAAAGGACAATATAGGAGAAGAGAAGAAAAAAAAAGATTAATATAAAGGGTGAATAGAGAGAGGTTTAAATGTTTTGATTCTCCAAGTTAAAATTGCGGCCAAAATTTGGCTCTCAGTCTCACTCTCCATGTAGATCTTCCGACTTGTCAGTCCAGAAGCATATCCACATGCCCTTTGTTAGTAGAAATACAAGTTGTATTCATCGCCAGTTTAGCTATGCCTCTCGCCTAGCTTACTCCGTTTCGTATTCTCCAACAAGCAGCCATTTAAATATTAACCAGAGCCTTGTTTAAGTTCGGTGAAGAGATATTTGAAATTTCTCGTATACATAAAAGAGAATGAGGACTTGATACTGCAAGGAAAGATAGATAGAAAGAGGGACAAAAATAACTTGAGTAAATGGACGGTTGAAAAGGGTTAAGGAAAGAAAGCTAAAAAGTTACTAAAAGCTACAAATGGTAGGAAATTGTGAAGAGCCATTAATTTTCGTTTTAAGCAGTGGGGGTATTCTACCGGTTTGCGCCAACCAAATCTTAAAATTATAAAAGCTTAGTGAACCGGTTGTTGGATCATCCGAAAATAATCTTATATATTAATAGCCGATATATAAACATATAATTAATAACATTGCTGTAAGTTCTGCAGAGGGTGAAAGAGGGTTTTCTGTGATGAACATGATTTCTTTTGTCAGAATAAATTATCTTGAAGTTAAAAAGGTGATAAATCTTCTAGTCATTAATTTGATGGGTCTTCCATTGAATCTTTGGGACTGCAACGATTCAGTTTGAATGTGGCTAAGAAACCAAAACACAGCTGATGACATTAGTGTCAAAAAGCATCGTACTTCTGAACAGAAATATGATGAGAACAGAATTTCAATCTAGAAATATCTTAATATATAAATGTTTTCTATTAATTTATCAAAATGATTTAATTCTTTTTGATACCATAAAGTAATTAGTTTCCATTCTCTGAGTGAAAAGAAAATAAGCAGAATAGGTTCCTAAAGATTGCCTGCCTTTATAGAAACGGTTCCTGGAAAGTTGGATGCCATTATTACTTTTAGGCTTCCATACATTAAAAAGCATAGCCATTAGTGATCGGTTGGGACAAAGTAAAATGTCCCCAAATCTGGTGGCATGAATTAAAAGAGGTGAAGATTAAACTGAGGAAGTCAGACCAGAGATATTGAAGCCTTTTTTTTTTATCTTTATTTGCTGGAAAAATGGCACAGCCATGTGTTTTCGATGTCACGGAAGAAGTGAAAGCGTGAATCCCCTCCCCCACCGCAAACAATTATAGGAGGGGAGAGGAAGGGTTGGGTTCTTTGAAGTGAGCAGTAAAATAAACCGGTGTTTACTGAATAAAGATCTCATAAAAATGGAATAGAAATGAACACTGAGAAAGATTAATATTAATAATAAAAGATATTTTTATGTATCCGTAATACGGCTATTTAAGTTAGCATTTCTACCTCTGGTATTAACACACACACACACACACACACACACACACACACACACACACACACACACAATAATAATAATAATAATAATAATAATAAGGAGTTTCAAATGGGTGTAGAAATGCAAGTTCAGCACAATACACCGGCTGAAACTGTAAAATACTTAAAAAAGACAGCAAAGACGAATGCAACCGACCAGCTACAGAAACGATGGCACGATAAACCGCTTTCTGGCCAATACTGCTGCCCGTACCAAACAAGCTGAGACAAAACCCGTACCCATCAGTGGCTGCAGTGCAGGGTTGAAAGGGGAAACTGAAGGTTTTATCCTTGCTGCGCAGGACCAATGCTTGCTAACTAGGAATTATCAAGCACATATACTAAAAATACTGTGTCAGCCCAAAATGCAGATTCAGTGATAAATATCCAGAAACGATTGATCATCTTGTATCAGGTTGCACGATGTTGGCACCCACTGAATAAAAACCGGCATGACAGAGTGGGCCAATATCTACACTGGAAAATCTGCAACTTAAGGAAGGAAACTGAAAGAAACTGGTATGAACACCACCCAGACCCGGTTACGGAGATAGGACCTGTTACAATTCTATGGGATTACACAATACACACTGATAGAACAATCAAGGCCAATCCCGCCAGATATTGTTATGAAAGACCACAAACAAAAACGGTGCCTCCTTATTGACATGGCAGTCCCTGCTGACTGCAATGTATCTTTGAAGATATTCAAAAAGTTGTCAAAATACAAGGACCTTGAAATAGAAATCTCGAAAATGTGGCATATGGTTGTAGTTGGAGCCCTAGGACTGGTTGGAAAAGATTGCAGTAGACTAATTGAAGGAATTCCTGGAAGTCCATGCTTCAAGGAGATACTAAAAATTGTTCTGACAAGTACAGCCCACATCTTACGAAGGGCTTTATCTATGTAATTTAATTATTTTTTTTTTTTTGTCAGTGGAAAGTGTCATGACGCCATTTCTAACCTTAGGTCCCTGGGCGGGACCCGGAAAGAAATGTGTAAACGCCAGAAATCAAAGAAAATAATAATAATAATAATAATAATAATAATAATAATAATAATAATGATCGTTTGGACTGCAAGGGTATATCACGTGTTTTTCGAGGCTCTCGTAGAAGCGTAAAAATTTACGGTAAAATGTACAACGAATTTAAATGTAAATATTTCAGCGTAAAATATTTTTTTCCTAATGAATTTTAACGTATTTTTTTAATGAATTTTATGTCATTTTTTATTTCCTTTCGGATTTTAATTTAATTTTAGTCGTATTTTTGTGTTTATTTCATTTTAAAGAATATATATTTCAACGTAAATATAACTCAACGTAAATATCAACTGACTTTAATTTAAATCTATGTGACTATAAATCATAATTTATTTAAATTTGACTTAAAAAAACTTAATAAAGCGATTATATTTCGTAAAAAATGTATTTATTTATTTACATATTATAAAAACACACGAGGATCCCTTCTTCTAATTATATATATATATATATATATATATATATATATATATATATATATATATATATATATATATATTAATTTGCTCATTACTGCAAATTATATTTTAAATTAATGATAATTTAATTTTAGTTATTATACCATTCAAAAAGTGAGCGATGTGTTATTGTCATTGCCATTGTAGTTGCCATCTTTGCTGTTCCAAGGTTTTTTTTTTTATCTGTTTCTCTTAACGGCGCCGCTGTTTGAATTAAAAAATGCGTCTCCTCCTCTTCGTAGCAGTCATGGAAGCAAATTGCTGAAAGTTACAAAACGGATACTGCTGATAGGAAGACGAAATGAAGGAGAATGCAACAATAATAATAATGATAATAATAATAATAATAATAATTGTTGTCATAGTAATGATGATAACAATATTATATTTGTATATATATGTATCTATATGTATGTGCACTTCTTGTATATATGTATGTATGCATGAATATATATATATATATATATATATATATATATACATACATACATACATACAAGTGCACATACATATATATACGATTAAAATAAAAAGAAATAAATATATAAGAAATAAAATAAAAAAATAAAAAAAAAAATAAATAAAAACAAGCAAAATAATCTAACCCAAATAAATAAATAAACAAATAAACAACTTCCGGCAAAATAACCGCCAAAATAGACTACCCACAATGCACCACTGATCTGTATATATAAATAGCCGAGAAAAACAGCACCCGTGGCCTGACGATTGCGTCTAGCATGAAACAGCCTGTCACATCTAAATATATATATATATATATATACACACACACACACACACACACACACACATATATATATATATATATATATATATATATATATATATATATATATATATATATATACAGTGATTAGTAGCCATAAATTAATTTTTAGATTAATAATATTTTAATTTTAGAGACACGTTACTAAGTTATACTATTTGTTGGTATACCTAATAAATAATCAGTAGGTATTTTTTATTCATTTTTGATACAAATCTTAATTTTTACCTGATTCAGGTGCAGCATTGGACAGTTATTAGACTCTTGTTACTGTCTAAACTATCCGTGACCTTTTAGGTCACTGAAGGTTGATGGTTATAAAACATTGAAGTTGATTTCAAAACTGAAAGGAAAAAAGAAAGGAAAAGAAGGAAATTATCATTTTGAAGGAAGTTAAAATAAAAATACTTATATAAACAACTCATATTTTTGAATCTTATTCACTTAGAATTTTTTTTAAATCAGATTAACTTAAAAGTTAAAAAAACTTAAAAGTTAAAAAAGTTAATATGTTAAGAAATATTCCAAAGTTATATTCTAATAATTTTTTTTTAAATATG